TTTTAAAAAGGGACCTAAAAAGGGAAGTAGGGAAGGGGGGGGGTTAAAAAAAAAAAAAAAAAAAAAAAAAGATAAATATGAAAAAATCTGGACGTGAAGGCCGGGAACTGCTGGTGGCTGGGCCCCTGGTCTTGCTTGAGGCTGAGGGACTGCTGGACCCTGTGACCTTTGCAGTGCCCCAAAACATGTGAAAATACTTCTTGAATGACTTCCAGCTGCCCTATTTCCCCTCCAAACAGGGTGCCCTGGGGTGTCACAGGGGAGTTTCTAGGTGAATCGAAATGCATTTGGACTCATGTTGCCTAGCTCTAGAGTTCTGGCAGCTCTGGGGATTACTGGGGCTGACGGTCCCCAAAGCGGACCCATAACAGGACCCAGGGTGCTGCCTCCTGCATTTTCTGTGTAGATAACCAACATGCTCAAAATATAGAGCCAAAACCTGATCTCCTTTAAATCAGAAGGAGCATGGGATAACTCACTTGGCCTTACTTAAAGTTGCACAGATATGGCCAATGGCAAAACTGATCATTTAGTTTTAAATTGAAGAAAAATCAAACCACTTAAAAGTGTTTTGTTTTTTTTTTTTTTTCCTGAAAGTAAATACAGCATCTCAGGACTCCAAGCGCTGGCAGCTTTGAGTTTGTTCACCTTCTCGTCATCTGGATCCCTCCCTTGCTATGCAGGTGAGGTGCACGAGATGCACAGTGCACACCTGGGAATGCATTAGCCCAAGCGTAGAGACTGCATATGGTTTGCTCACAGGTATCTGGGTAGATCTTCAGAGCACTAACTCTGGTCACTTCTACTATACCTTCTCATGTCTCCTTTCCAGACCCTATCACTTTTATGTATGCACCCAAGCTACGGTGAATCCTGGGGGAAACATGTGCCTATAGCAGTGCTTTAAAGTGCTTGAAAGAGCTCTGCTACCTGAAATGCTTTCAGGTGGCACCACTCCTCATCCAGGCAGCAAGGGACACACTGGGTTAGACTCTGGAAGATGAACTGCCATATCTAACGTCTGTTTTTCGCTCCGAGTTAACTCAAGTTATGTACTGCCTCTGCCTCAAGCCCTGTCCGTACACAGAACTGCTTCCCTGGGGCAGGATAGTGTTTCCATTTGCAGGGGCTCAGTCTGCATGAGCACAACTTGTCAGCTGCTATCACAGCAACAGCATGCCACCAGACCAAACACTGGCCTGAGCTTTATTGCATCATGTGGCTGATCCTGCTTGTGCATCCCAGGCCTTCAGATCTCATTAAAAACATTTTTAACTACAGGTAGTGACACGAACGAAGCTGGGCACAGCCGCTTCCTATGCAAATCTGTTTATTTGCTGTTAAGGCTGAAGCTGTATTATCAAGATGCTCTTCTATCATCAGCTTTCCTCATTTGAGTCTTGCAGCTTGGTGCCTTGGGGGTCACAAGGAAGGGAGGAGAAGCAACAGTGCTGAATGGCACTAAAGGAAGTACTGTTTCAAAGCAGTCCTCCTTACACTATTTGCATCTCAGTATTATATGAATGACACAAATGCTGCGTTCCACAGAAGGAAGCCCAAGTAAGGGAAATAGCCAAGTCAGCTCAGGAACTAAAGAAAATGTTTCATAAAATAAAAATCCTGGGGACACAGTGGTCAAAGCACTCCAAACAACGATCTTTCTTTTTTCTGGTCTGTAAATTTGCTATTGTGAGCTAAGGGCAACAGCAGTATCTTTGCTCCTACTTCTGTATTTACGTTCCTATGCTTTCCTTTTATCTTATTGCTCATATTAAAAAAAGTCCTACTGCTCTGCTCTTCATATATATTATAATTATATATTCTTGTATTCATTAGCTTATTCTAATTTGCTATCTAATTTCACATTTTGCTATCTTACTACTAAATTATGCACAGGAGGAGTTGTTAAGCACAGGAGCAGGCTGACAAAGCAGGTCGTGGCACCTCCATCCTTGCAGGTTTGCAAAACTTTACTGAACAAGGTCCTGAGAAACCTAATCTGGCTTGGAAGTCAGCCTTGCTCTGAGCAGAGATTTAGATTACAGACCTCCAGAGGACCTTTCCAACCTATTTTTTTCTCTGATTCTACACCCCCATGAACACTTCCATCAGAGAATTCTCTAAAATATCTCCATGTTCCAGAAGGTAAAATGGGACATTAGCTGTATAAGAATATGACCTGTCTTAGATATGTCAAAAGAACTGAGAGCCCAGAGCGGGGAGGGCAAACGAAACAAGTAGTAAATACTGATCGTGGAACCTCCCCACATTATAGCTGTTTATGCATCTTCTTTGAAATGAGGTGACTGAGAGTTCTGGAAGACTATTTCAGTTGTGAGGGACAGTCTATCTTGCTACTTTACTGCATGTGCTTATGTTATCCTCTGTGGATTAACCCTGGGGAAAAAAAAATCAGTTTACTATTTATTTGCTGCTAAGGACAATGCAAGTTGCAACTTACTTGCAAAGACATTGGAATTGGTCCTTGGAGCACAGGATTCCTGTCTGTTTTGCAGCTATCTCTGGGCTTGTGCTCCATACACAACTGTGGCACATCACAAATTATTGCAAATATTGCAGACTGTGAGAGGGCCATCTTTGCTTCTTGTGAAGGACAGCAAAGGCCAAAACAGCAGAGGTCACTTCTGTATATGGGTCTTCTGGATGAAGTACCAGAAACTAGGGACAGAAAGACACTGCCCTTTCGCAGCTAATCTAATCTCAAGGGTCATTTCTAAACATCCTGCCTATTCCATATCTTTAGATTACATATCCTATATCCAGATAGTTCTCTCTCCCTGGTATTCACTTCCGATATTCCTTTAAATGCATTGTGTAACTTCCCATTATATTCATTTTCTATACATTTACAATACATCCTCTTCCTTCTATGATTCTATGATTCCTTATTACATGCTCTTCAGCACCTAATGTCAGGCTAACTGCATCCACACATCCCTGAACTGAACTGTGCATATCAGAGTTTTCCAACTTGTATGTGAAACAGGACCTACAACCACTGCCATCTTTTTCTATTTGAAACTCTTCTCTCACTACCTATCTTCGTTGCAATGTGTCATTCCCTCATTCCATGAACTTTAATGCTACAGTATCATATAATAATGGCTCACATAGTGCACAGCTCACAATAGTGTCGCTGCTGCAGGGGTCTGGACATTCCTTTCTGTATAATTTGAAGGCAGAATAGATAATATTTTGGATGCCCTAACCTCAGAACTGTCTAAAAAGCGATTGCTACCTCTGAGCTTTGGAATGCCTTAAAACCCGTGTCCTTCTTGCGGCTATTTCTACATACAACCTTCTCTCTCTCACTTGCTTTCCACTCATGACTTCTTCGTATGCATCTGCAATTATTTGAGTTTGCAGTGACGTTTCCCTCAATGAAGTGTGCATACTCCCATAGTTGTGCCAGCATGTCAGGTCCCTAGCAGGCAATATATTTTGTTGAGCTGCTAATAATTTTCACATGCCAACTATAAATTCAGAGAATGCTTGAGCTTTCCCTTGTATCTGGAACGGTCTGAAAAGTCGTGCAGAGACACCAGATTAGCAATGAACAAATTAG